TTATGTATTTAACCTTTTAGGTTCTTACTTCAGTCAACACAAGGCAACACTGGGAAAGCGAAATATTTCTAATAGGCAGTTGAGTCAAACACAATTTGCAGGATTTCCCTTTTCAGCTCCACAAATACAAGGCTTGTCTGTCTGTCTATCAACCTATCTATCGATCTAGCTATCTAGCTGTTCCATAATCGTAACCCAGGCCATCCACACCTTTTTTCACTCTGAGGTCTGCACGGAAGCGGACTCGGGCAAACTGCTCGGCGCAAGAAAGCCAAACAGAAGCTCTGTGTTGTGCCACAGCGAATGCGTGAGTCTCAATGCTGCCGCATCTCGGTTGTTTTGGCTGCCGCAGCCTGACATAGCTACCCCTCCAGAACCTCTGTTATTAAAAGTAACCACAGCAGTGGACGAGAATTGTCATATTAATGCGTCACTCCGGGTGCCAAAATGTCTACGAAATCCTGTGCACGTCACACGGAATGAATTCCTGACCATAACCCGCTGCACGCTACAGGCAGAGTCTGGAACTTTTCAGTTTAGGAAAGAGATGACTGAGGGGCAGGGGACAAGAGAGAGAGGTTCAGACACATTTTTAGGCAGGGTAAAGACAGCGAGCCCTGACCTAGGTAGCCCAGGCTAGGACAATATTGTCAGATCTTGGAAGCTAGGCAGGGTTGGGCCTGGTCAGTATTTGGAGGGGAGACCACCAAGGGGGTTGAGACTCATGGTGCAGAGGCAGGCCATGGCAAACCACCTCTGAACGTCTCTTGTCTTGAAACTCCCTGAGCGGTCACCGCAAGTCATCTGTGACTTTTGACAGCGAGAGAGAGAGAGAGAGAGAGAGAGAGAGAGAGAACAGAGATAACCTTTTCTCCATCTCCCCAAATATTAGAACTAGAGGGCAGACAATGAACCTGAGCAGTAGATCCAGGAGGGACCAAAGGACATACTTCTTTACACAGCTGGTGATTAAATTGGGGGGATTTGCTGCCAGGGGACGAGAAGAAGAAGAAGAAGAGGAAGAAGAAGAAGAAGAGGAAGAAGAGGAAGAAGAGGAAGAAGAGGAAAAAAGAAGAAGAGGAAGAAGAAGGAAGAAGAAGGAAGAAGAAGAGATTGGATTTATACCCCGCCCTTCACTCAGAGTCTCAGAGCGACTTACAAACTCCTTTCCCTTCCCCTCCCCACAACAGACACCCTGGGAGGTGGGTGGGGCTGAGAGAGCTCTGACAAAAACTGCTCTTTTTCAAGGACAGCTCTTATCAGAACGACGGCTTGCCCAAGGTCATCCAGCTAGGTGCATGTGGAGGGGTGGGGAATCAAACCCGGTTCTCCCAGATTAAAGTCCGGGCACTTAACCACTGCACCAAACTCCACCACTACACCAAACCAAGCCAAAGCCAACAACGCCCCAGGCCCCCCCCCCCCCCGCTGCCACCAAGTTGCAGCCAACGTAGAGTGATCCTGTAGGGTTTTCGAAGCAAGAGACTTTCAGAGGTGGTTTGCTATGGTCTGTCCCTGGTATTCCTTGGCGGTCTGGCACAGGGAGGGGAAAACAAACCTGACCCAACAACTGGAATCAAGAACCACAAGGGTAAGACAGAAGGGCCAATATTAAAAACTAAGTTAAAACTTATAATATACAAAAATACATGTATTTATTAGAAAGACCTGCAAGACGGAGCTCTTCCGCCAGGCTTTTAATTAGGAGCCGCCACCACCACCAACTGTCTCGTGGGAACATGGGGCATTATAAGATCGACGGCCCACTATAAGATCGAGTTACAGTATTCTGATGGAGCGGTACTACAGATTCGGGCTTGAGTAACATCTATTGATCACCATCGTGACTTGACTGCTTTGACTAAATGATTAATATTAACATCACTGAGCACTTTAGTTTTGATAAAATGGCTGTTTTTATGCGTTTTGATGTTTTATACTTGGCACATGGTGCCCTTGTTTGTTAGCCGCCCTGAGCCCGTTTGCAGGGAGGGCGGGATAAAAATATAATAAATAAATAAATAAAATAAGGGCCCATTGAAAGCCTCGTAAACAAGTAAAGGTGGCCTACACACAAGGGCCAATACACATGACCTGACACGTTTCCGCCCTATTGGGGCCTTCTTCAGAGGTCAATCAATATTGAGGTACACATAACTTTAATACATAGGGCTCTTCTTGTAGCAGGAACTCCTTTGCATATTAGGCGACACACCCCTAATGTAGCCAATCCTCCAAGAGCTTACAGAGCTCTTCTTACAGGGGCTACTGTAAGCTCTTGGAGGATTGGCTAACCAATAAGTGAATATTGGACCAAGAAAAGGCAGGCTGTATAAAAAGGATATTAAATATGAATAATCAAATATTTTTAGGCAACCTTTACTTGTTTACGAGGCTTTCATTGGGCCCTTATATGTTTTTAACTGTCTTTCTAACAAATACATGTATTTTTGTATATTATAAGTTTTAACTTAAGTTTCTAATATTGGCCCTTTATTCGTCTTCTTTCTTATCCTTGTGGTCAATGTTCCCTCTAAGCTGTGGAGTCTTGTGAGCAAAAATTCCTCTTTGTGAGCTACCGGCATTAAAGTTGTGAGCGAGCAGTTTGGCTACTGCATATATTCGTTTGCTGTGGAGCCATCCTTCCTGAGCGAAGACAAAAATATGTGAGCTGGAGGCTAAAAAACTGTGAGCTAGCTCACACTAACTCAGCTTAGAGGGAACACTGCTTGTGGTTCTTGAGTCCTTGGTGGTCTCCCATCCAAATACTGGCCAGGGCCAACGCTGCTTAGCTTCCGAGGTCGAGCTAACTTGGGCTATCCAGGTAAGGGTGTAGATGGTTTCAGAAACGGATTAGACAGACTCATGAAAGCTAGGTCTATCAGTGCCTACTAGCCATGGGGACTAAAGGGAACCTCCATATTCAGAGGCAGTCCACCTCTGAAAATCAATGCCAGGAGGCAACATCAGGGGAATGCCTCCATCTCTATGCCCTCTTGTTGGCCCTCCAGGGGGACTGGTTGGCCGCTGTGTAAGACAGGATGCTGGACTAGATGGACCGCTGGTGTGATCCAGCAGGGCTCTTCTTACGTTCTTATGGCTGCATTTTTGCATGCTTCTTTGTACTGGCTTTTGAAACCTCCCTGTACGTAGGAAATGAACATTTTGGAAAGAAAAGTTAGCGTAGCTCCACAGTCCACTACATGTGAGAAGTTTTCCATGTAGGGAGATGTTTGAAATGTGGCCCATACCAATCCATGCAGCGTGGGTCCATGATGGTTGGGAATGAACCAAGCCCTCTTTATTGTGTGACACACAAACACCCCGCAGTAGTTTGGCTGCTTGGCTGGACAAACAGCCCTGTATTATCTACTCTATCCCTTGGAATTGATTTTTAACAGGCTGCTGCATCGATTTCTACACCACATGCCGGTTTATTAACCACTGATACAATTTGTGAAGGCCACATACGAACACCATACATTGTTTATTTGCATTCTAATTTTTTTTTAAGGACAAACACGCACATAAAGAAATGGGGAGGGGGGTCTAAAGCCCTTCCCCTATTGTTACACTTGGATACAGTGCAGAATGTAATTGAAAATAAGGTGTGTCGCGGAACTGTACAGTTAGGTAAACAAAACAAAAAATATAGAAGACGAGAGTCCTTCATTTATATTTATATATTTATATATAATTATATATAAAACATAGAGAAAGTTGTCTTGGCACACCGATGCTCGACATTGGCAATGGCTATCTTGCACGCACGCGCACCCATCTCCACACACGCCCAGAGACACGCACTCAACTCACGCAACAAAAGTCTCGACGGCAAATATTGCCAAACAAGTTAACCGTTTTTAATACTGATCGATTAAGGCTACTGTTGTGTTTTATTAAACTGTTGAATAAATAAAAGCATGAGCCTTGGTAATCTTTTCAATTTTTTTAAAAGAAACCCTTTATTTCTCAAAGTGCTTTTTTATTTTTGTAGTTTAGTGACGTTGGACTCAGATGTTAAAAAACCCCAAAAAACAGGACAGAGGCTTGGTCAGGGATGCTTGGTCGATTATGGCAGCCTCACGCTCTCAGGGGCCCTGACTGCACAACTACATCAATTCGGTTGTGTTTTCCTCTGTGTGTTTTTGTGTGTGTGTGTGTGTGTGTGTGCCATGATGGTTTTCAGACTCCCACCGAACCACCCTGGAAGATGTAGAAGTCTTTGGGGGGGGGGAATCTAAACAAACAATTTCAGATTAGGGGGAGAAAGTATTTGGGCCTCCTCTGCACCAACCGAGTTCTCTGGAGTTGACCTGACTCATGAGTAAAATATAAATGGACTAGGGTATATTTTACTCAGGGTCCCAAACTGAGAAGACAAGGAGGCCAGCTCTGTCGGTGGAATGGTGGGCCCAAAGACTGCAAGAAGCGGGGCGTCATGTCCAGAGGCTCATCGGAGGCATTTGTTTCATTCCTTGGATTATAGATCCTTTCCTCCTAGACCTCTAGAACTCTTTTTTTTTTTTTAAGAAAGAAAAGGGGGGGAAGAAAATGGAGAGAACTGAAAACTGAAAAGTACAGCTTGGGATTTGGCGGTAGAGTATACCTTAAACCTCGGGCTCATCTAATTCCTGGAGGCCAAAAAAAAAAGTGGTTTTGGGAAAGTCCTCTGATCAGAATCCTGGATGCGCAATGGGCCCAAAGGCGAAGGAACAGGAGTATTTGGAGTTGGGGTGTGTGTGTCACGCTTTCCCCTAGAAAAGGTCCCCGCAATGCATCCTTGCTCCTCTTCAAAGTCTTTCAAAGGCGTGTTCCTTGCTTGAATATTTATATACCTCAAGAGCAACAATGAGTCTAGCATTTGGGGAAGTCCGTGTTTTCCCAAGGGGAGTTTGTTTCGGTTAAAAAAAAAAAAGCCCCATAGTCCCACTCAGTTTGCATGCGTGCCACTGGGTTGGCTGTCCCCCAAGAAAGCTTGGCTCCCCCGTGCCTTACTGTCACATCACACAAGGCTTAATGTCTTGGTACGTCACTTGCTGGTGATAATAAGAGCCGCTGCCTCCCGAGTGCATCGAAGAGGACGCCATGGCGTTGATGGAGAACACAAACTCCTTCCTGTCGCACATGCTCGGAGACTGGGAATGGTAGCGGATCCCTAAAACAAATCAGAGAGTGATTTTTTTAGTAACTCGAAGGGAGAGCGAAGAGGCAAAAACGTTTATCTCATCCTGGACAGTAATGGGTTGCTTGCGTGAGTCTTGTACCCAAGGGAGCATAGCTTTGGGGCAGAGCGCATGCTATGAACCTGGGAGGTTCCCAGTTGAGTCCGTGACACCTCCATTTACTTACTTACTTAAAGGTAAAGGTTCCCTTGCTCGAAAGCCAGTCGAATCCGACTCTAGGGTTGCGGTGCTCATCTCCGTTTCAAAGCCGAAGAGCCAGCGCTGTCCGAAGACATTTCCGTGGTCATGTGGCCGGCATGACTAAACACCAAGGTGCACGGAACGCTGTTACCTTCCCACCGAAGTGGTACCTATTTATCTACTTGCAATTTCTTGCTTTCGAACTGCTAGGTTGGCAGGAGCTGGAACTAGAGACAGGAGCTCACTCCGTCATGCAGCACACTCGGGTCTCGAACTGCTGAACTAGCGTCTTAACCACTTGAGCCACTTACTTACTTACTTATCCCTGCTTGCACAGGGCTCAGGGCGGTTGACAACAGAATAATTCGGTACATTTATGAAACCAATTAAAGCCATAAAAACCCAATGTTAAGAACATTCAAACGTATAAGTATTTGAATACATTTTAAGAACAAAAAGGCATATCTGGCATTCAGTTGTGTGGGGGGGAGGGTGCCAGGCAGATGTAAAAAAACAACAGCATCGCCAGCCTCAACCAAAGGCCTGGTGGAACGTCTCTGCCTTACATGCCCTGCGAAACTTTAACAGGTCAGACAGGGCACGGATGTCACTCAGCAGGGAGTTTCACCAGGCTGGGCTCTCAAGCAATGCTCCCTCTAAGCTGTGGAGTCTTGTGAGCAAAAATTCTACTTTTGTGAGCCACTGGCCTTAAAGTCGTGAGCAAGCAATTTGGCTGCTGCGTAAGTTAGTTTGCTCTGGAGCCGTCCCCTTCCTGAGCTAAGACAAAAATGCGTGAGCCGGAGGCTAAAAAACTGTGAGCTAGCTCACACTCACTCAGCTTAGAGGGAACACTGGTCTCAAGAAGCAGGGGTGGGGTGGGGTGAAACCTTGAGTTGATGTGTCCAAGAACTGACTGATAGTGAAAAGCAAGATACAGGCCGGTAGGACATGTTTCTCACCAAACTGGACTTAATCGCATGGTATGGCCTGCACAGCCTTTGACAATTTCCTGGGTGACTGGTAAGTCCCACAGGGCTAAGTTAGAAGAACCCAGTGTCCCGGCAAAGAGGGGCTGTCGCTATGGCCAAGAGTGCGGCTATGCTCAGTAGAATTATATGCTGTGTTTTCCTCTGACCCTCCTGCTTTGGAAAACCCCTTTCATTTCGAAAGCCACATAGGTTGAAGAGCCATTCTTTGAGAACGCAGCCTGCTGAGTGTGCATGATTCCGTGCATCCCAACACTATCATTACCCCATTCCCCCCCCTTCACAATGCTGACTGATCCAAGATTACCCTTGGAGCTTTGGGGATGGAGTGGAGGGAGGGAAAGGAGGGCTTCCTCTAGAATCCATGAGCCACCTCACAGTTCAGGCCCCGTTCGGTTATGTAATAGACAGTGTTCCCTCTCAGTGGAGTCCGTGTGAGCTAGCTCGCAGGTTTTTTTAGCCTACGGCTCACACGTTTTTGCCTTAGCTCAGGAAGGATGTGGCTCCAGAGCAGTGTTCCCTCTAAGCTGAGTTAGTGTGAGCTAGCTCGTAGTTTTTTAGCCTCCGGCTCACACATTTTTGTCTTGGCTCAGGAAGGATGGCTCCAGCGCAAACAGATTTATGCAGGAGCCAAATTTCTCGCTCACAAATTTAATGCCAGTAGCTCACAAATTAGAATTTTTGCTCATGAGACTCCACAGCTTAGAGGGAACATTGCAGAGAAAACTAATTTATGCAGCGGCCAAATCTCTGGCTCACAACTTGAATGCCAGTAGCTCACAAAGTAGAATTGCTGCTCACAAGACTCCACAGCTCAGAGGGAGCGTTGGTTACAGACCTGGACTCTGTCCCTCTACCTTTGCGGAAATTCCCACTTGACCGAGATGGGAATTTTGCCTAAATGCGAATTGCAGGATGGGTTGGGAATGTCTGTTTTCTGACCGGCCAAGGAAGGAGAAGACAGCCCTCCCCCCCAC